CCAACATCACAGACCAATTTATAGGCTTAACTTTGACTCAGTACATTGACTGAACAGGCTGTGGATGTTCATGCATACAGTTCCATTAGCACGGTCGGGTTGGAGGACGATGTGAAGCTTAAAAGGTTGTTTCTGCCCAAACCAAAGTTCTCAAAAAGACGTTCACTTAAACGGGTTCTCCGTGATACAGAAGTTAATGCTGCTTACCCTGCAGGGCTGTAATGAGTAACAGGTCTGTTGGCATGAAAAATCACCAGCCACTAAATGTGTGATCAGTACAGATGGTGTCCAGCCTGGTGTTTCATTTTCAGTCAACCCTCCTCTCACTCTATCTGCCTCTTTGTGACTGTTTATGCTCTGCTTATTTTACATGTCAGCCACATACTGCACCCTTTATATCAATGTTAGTTACAGAGTAGAAGAGTCGGAGATGGGGCAAGAAAGTGATTCTGCATTACAGACAGCAGCCATCTTCTACCTAGAACCATGTTTGCATGGTTAGCACCTTTACCCCTGAGCCAGCAGGGTGCTTGTGGTGTCAGTGCGTCTCCTGCTGTGAAACCAGCTGGTAACTGGGAGCAGGAGAAATCATTATCTTTTTCTGGAAATCTGAAAAGTGGAACCGACATTTCTTGGCTGGAGCTGCTCCACTGTGTGCCATGTAATTAAAGTTTTGTTGAACAACCTGAGGCAGAGGAGGAGCAAGTCTCCAGATCATCATGTGAGCCAAACAGCACAACCGCAGCTGCTGATGATGGTGTGTTACCGTTAAATATTCACATCAGATTGGTTTGAAAGCTGCTTATTTGCTTTATAAAAGCCAAAGAACAAACTATCTAAAAAATAAGCTCCCAATTTGGCTTTGTTAGGCTCAAATTAAAGGAAATTATTATTTCACTGAAATTATTTATTTCTGTTGATTATCGCTAACCATTCACATTTGCTATTTAAAAATGTCCTTAAACAAGGGACGAGCATGGTTACCCAAATAAATGTTTAAATGTCGTCACTTTTGCTTGTCAGCCCTGGAATTACTAATTAACTAATTATCAATATTTATATCAAAACAGGCCTGCTGTGCCGATCAAATGTTGTGTGTAAGCTGTAATACATCCATACACCACTAGGAGGGGCTGTAGCTCCAGTTGATGGCTACTGCCATAGTGTCATAATGCTTTACTGACCAGCAAAGTGGATCGAAGTCTGGTATTGCTAGCTGATAATGTTAGCAACAGTCGACAAACCAATTCTTCATTGTTTACCTGAAGATGTCCCAGCTGTCATCGGGCGAGAGGTCGGGAACACCCTGGATTGATTGCCAAGTCAATCACGGGGACAAGCACTCGCACCCACACACAGACTTACGAGCAATTTAGAGTCGTCAATGAATGGAGTCCCTGGACTGTGGGAGGAAGCTGGAGGGACCGAGGCATGCACGGGGGGCTGCATTCAAACTCCACACAGAAAGGCACCCGCCCGGCCGGGGATTTGAACAATGCAGTACAGTACATGTTTTTACTGTTCTACTAAAGGTGACAGTGTGTGCTTATATCCTGTTAGCCTGCAGTAAGAGACAAGCAGACAACTTTAAATATTATTAAGGAATAATCTCAAGCTGACAGACTTTGGCACATAATGAAACACAAATTAAAATAATTAATTTACATGTACATTATGCAAATTTGGGGGTTTTCCATGATTACTTATTTGTGATGTGCATGATTGCGTTGCTCAGATTTGTGGTGCAGAAAATGATCTTGTTTTTGCTCTGAACAAAGCCTAAATTACTTTTAATCCTGATTTTTAATACTGATCATGTTGGTGTGAATGAGAACCAGTGTACAGATTACAAATCGTGTTGATTCTTTTTTAAAAGCCCCCACATAAATCCATCATGTTACACAACTCAAACGAAAGCCAGAGCATGCAACTTTAAAACATCGTTATTTCCTCCTGCCTCCATGTTGTCATGATGTGTTCGATTGTGCAGCCTGTGAGTGCAGAAATGTTCATCACTATGGCGACAGACCACACATTAAAGCTACTTTCAGCACAGGAACCTCAGAGTGCCTGATGTTTATGTGCACAGATGAATCAGCAGCAGAGGCTCACTTATGGCCTCATTCTTTATTCTTATTTCTCTTTAGTTAATCCTGCCGCGCTTGAACTATTAATTGGACATTAAAATCGATTTTTAGAACAAAACAAATTCAAGCAACCATTGTGTTTTATTAATGTGTCTGACGTTTCATTTTTTTATCAATCAATCCAGCACCATGTGGCTGTGAGGCAGTATGAACTTGGGGGATTTTTATTTTTTGAAGATACACAGAAACACACTTTTAAGACGTTTTCTAATCAACATACAACCTCTACTTCCTGAGATGAATTAATGAGATGTTCAATTATCCTTCTCTATTCATTTGATTTTGAAGTAGTCTGAATAACTCCCAAGGGTTTAAAGGGAGGAACTGATTGGAAATTAAGCGAGATATTTCTATATTTTTGTTTCAACAAAGGCCCAGACTTGACAAGTGACCTCATAGTGATTCAATAGATATTTAAATCTCCTCTTGGTCAGAGTTCCAATTATCCTGATGAGCACCCCGTTAAAACTTTGTGTGAGTGTGAGCTGATGCAGAGCGGTGGAGGGTGGAGGTAGTAGACGGAGGCTGCAGCCATTGATTTCTGTTGAATTATTCATCCGGAGCATCGTACTCTTGTCTTGGCCTTGGCCCATTATAGGCGTACGAATGCATCACTGCCACGAGAAGCAGCGACTGAATATCCCAAGTTTTCCTCTGAGTACTCTCTTATTTATGAGGCCCCAAACTTCTCTCTCTTTAAGCAAGAAGTCGACAACATGATCGTGTGTATCGTGCGTGTGTCTCTGTGTGTGACGGTGTACAGAGAGACATCCCAAGCCTGCAGTAAAAGATTCATGAGGACTGAGGCTGCAGCTGGTGTTCAGAGCCGTTTACATGCTGGTCAGGACATCATTTACACCCTGAAGCAATTACCGTGGTTATTTGACTTACTGTATGTTATTTCATTTTATTTAAGAGCGTGTTTGCAAGAGACATGGTCAGATATAGTAAAAAAAATAATTAAAACAATTGTTATGCTAATTAAGGGATTAGAGCATGAAACGTGTGTGCGTGCATGTGCAGCTTTTATGCAGCACCTCATATGTGTGTTTTTGCATGTGCATTTTCCCCCTGATTCAAAATTCAGATGATTATACTGCTGTTACTACACTTAAGTTATTTTCTGAAAATGCAATTTGATACGTAGAAAGAAAAAACAGGAAAAATAAGAAGTAAAGGTTTTAAAGACCTGCTGTTTGTTTGCAGCAAATCATTGTACACTGCAGACCCTTAATGCTCTGTTGCTGCAAGCCTTTTTTTAATTGGACAGACTCTTCCTAACTATGCTCAAGTGAAGAAATGCATGAGAAAAAAACAGTATCCTGCAGCTACATATTGCCACTTTATCAGAGGACTTCATGCTGCAGGGTGACAGCATGTAGCTGCCAGGAGTGGACACCATCCACAGCTCCTGCATGTCCAGCAGCATTCAGATTAAAGCAGTCTTACTCTCTATATATAATCTGCTGTGCAGCTCCTCGGGCTGAACAGACTCGTGATGCGGTCTGACTCGAGGCACCAGGGCTCCCCCTGCACACTGTGAGAATGTTTTATTTCTCGGGGTTAGCAGCAGGTGTTGAATAATTCAGTGACTGTAGGATGTGCTCGCTGCCAGGGAAGCGTCTCTCAGAGAGGAGACTTAGTGGGGTCCCTGCTCATCTCCACTCTGACATTATCATCACCCCTCTGCAGCCCATATGAGTTACAATGCCCGCGCGTCAAGAAAATGATGGGTGGACAAACTGTGGGTCGATACTGCTTCTGCCTCATGTGGCATGTGTTCATGCTGGAGTGAGCTTTACTTCGAAATGTCACAGTGAAGCCACTTAAAGATGTTTTTACCAAGAAACGTATTTATAGCCGTTTTATAGACCATCAGGGAAACATATTATTAATACAGGCATGATAAGTGGGTGAGCCGATGACTTTTGATTTTAATTATCAATATGACCGGATATTTTAGTGTTTTTAAGATGAACAATCTTCACACAGTAAGTCGCAAAAAGGTGTGCAAAGGTAGCAGGCTCCTCTATATATAAAAATATAGTTTATTTATTTGTTTGTATGTTTTTAAATATGTGCATAATAATAGGGTGATCCTTTAACATATTGGATACTTCAATTCCTTTAAGGCGAATAAGAAAGGACTCAATAATTTGTATTTGAATAAAATGAATATTTCAAATATCATTTTTATTATTTCAGGCTTGCAGTGACAATTGCAGGTCCATATATAACTACATCTGACAGAATCTAAAATCTAAAATCGATTATAAATGAGGAGATGTTTTGAAGCCAAAAGAACCGCCTCTTATTGCTGAGCCGAACAAAATGATCCGATCACTGAGAGGAGCCGAAATTCACATCACTGTAACCAACAACGATGCTTTTAATGATCCCATGAACTGTCACTGTCAACTGTTAGGCTTTTTGAAGTTTCACACTTTTTATCCTCCAAAGAAAAAACATGCAAGTCTATAATGTGCAGTGTTCGCTGCAGCTGCACATCAGTTACCAAGAATCACGGACTTGTATGCAGTTGGTTATTGTCTGGTTTGATTGCGGTGCTTTCATAGACATGTTTTGAAAAGAAGATCAAATTTTAGAACAAGCTTCTCTGATTTTTCCTTATGTCTAATTTCTCGCATAAAAATCTGAAAATGAAGCTGCTAAAAGTTCAGGTGGTTTGTCAAAGCGCGACGTTTCCAAGCGACGTAAATATCTTCAGCCTCTGTTGCACACCTCTTGAACTTCCCGAGAAGAGCTGAGAGCATCAGAGCTGTGGTTCAAAGCAGTAACCGAGCTGCTTCAACATAGAATAAGACATCATATGAAGCGTTAAGGTGTCCCTACCTCGCTCATGGCTGCGCGGTGTGCGTCTCTGTGGGGATCCTGTTCAGGTTGATGCGTAGCTACCAGCTGGTACAGTCCTCTCTCTCTCTCTCTCTCTCTCTTTCTCTTTCTCTCTCGCTCTGTCTGTCTGAGTGCCTCCGCGCGCACACACGCGCTGTTTTTATAGCTCCTCTCCTCCTCACATCATCTCCGTGAAACCAATGAGCACCAGCCTCTCGTTTCCAGCTCCGAGTGGACCAGCCTTCATTTTGTTTTGCCAATAATCCGACACGGTGTTGGCTTGTTTTCAGTTTGTGTTGTCGGTGGGATAGAAAAGGGGGTGATGAAAATGCGGGGAAAATAATGAAATACACCCAAGCGTTCAATAAGGAAGACGATAGGCTAATCTAAATTGAACATTAAATGTGAAATTTCCTCAGCACAATCTGCACATAGGCCCAGTGAAAGAATCACATTAAAACTGATTTGAGGGTCTATTTTTAAAGCAGGTCCAGTAGACTTTACATAATTTGGTGAATGACTCATAAGTACAAACATCAGAAAAGATCCTGACAGAGATTGAACATTTAATTGATCCTTTTATTCAATCCACAAACAGCCTTTACATCACTTTAAAGCCACCAAACTCTATTGACAAATACAGTCATTTTAGTGAACACAGGAGTTGCTGGTCTACTGCTGCATGATCAGTAAGGTTTTTTAATTGTTGGTTACTGTGTTGTCTCTGATCTCACAATTTAAATCACCAGTCGCACAATAACACAAACAGCCAACAAATTAGGACACCGGTAGATCAGCAACTCCCGGGGTCCAGCAAAGTCAACTGAGGGCTTTTGTCAGTGGAGTCTGGTCATGATCTTTCTCCTACAGAAAAAAGGAAGGCTGTAATTCTAACGTTGTCAGACACTTTAGAAATCAGTCTGAGCCTTTCAGTGGTAAAAAAAATAATCACTTTGAGTGGACCTACTTTGATTAAAAGAATGTGCCCACAAGGATTGGGATGCAGCCATTACAGTCCAAAACGTTGGTACCTTTTTAGTCATTTACAGTAGGCTGAAAAATGTGATTACAGTGGGTCCTGGTTTGAAAAACACGGGGATTTCCCCTTTAAATAACCTACTTTAGTAGCACAGTTACAGCCTGTGGCTGTATCTTTCTCTCGTACAGTACAACATGAGTCAGAGGGGTATATCTGTTTGTGGACATCTGCATGCAGGCGTCTCCTACACTATCTGACTCCATGTTTATTTAAAGCACACATACTTTCTCTGGATGTGTTGGACCTGTGAATCACACTGGAATTATTTAGTATTTATGAACACTACATAACAGAAAATTGATGTTAAATAAATGTGAGCACGAATCAGAAAAAACATCTATTTATAGCCCACTGTGATGAGGCTGTCAACATAATTTACATAATAAGTTGATTTAAGATCTTTCATGTGATTACGTAGTTGGAAGGTCGAGACAAACTTCTCGTCAGTGAGAATATCACGAAGACACAGAAGCATAAAAATCCAGGTTTACTCCAAAAAAATTCAAATCATGGTATTGGGAGAGATGTAAGGTCTATTTCAAGAGGCTCTTCCTGCTGCAGGCTGTTGACCCAAGATGAGGTCGGCAACAGGTCTGTGACCAGCACAGAGAAGCTGGCTGGAGATGATAGAGTAAGAGGAGGGGATATATTGGTCTGAAACAGCTGCAGGGTGCTCGACTACCTGCAGATTTGTGGCTTAGCAGTTTTTGAGGATGAACTGGGAAAGACTACAGTGTGAAATGAAGCAGGGGAAACTTTTTTAAATATCCATTTCATTGGATTAAAGGGCAAAGTGCAACATGAAAATAAACATGAGATGGTAAACAGATGAGACTAAAAAAGGCAACACAAACAAAGAGAGAGAAAGAAACAAGACTAGTAATGACATGTTGAGAGTTGATGTTGCTGCTGCCAAGTAAGTAAGAAAAGTATTATGCTTTATTATACGTTTAAAGCTTTAATGATGTCGCTTTGATACGCTGTGGTGAGAATGTGGCCTTGAAAGATGGATGAGGATTTGAGCCATGGTCTGTCTATAAAGAGGGAAGATGCATGTCCGCCTCTGCCAGTTGTGATTGGCTGGTGGAGCTGCAGTATTGCCCCTTCCATTAACCAAAACACAAATTAAACATATTGTAAAAAAGGCAAAGATCCATCAGAGGGGTACAGTCCACAGCAGAACAGAATCTCATGTTGGTTTGAAGCCGACACTGCACAGTTATGTAGAACTCACTGTTCCTCCTCTACTCCGATCATCTGCTGCACACAGCGCTGCAGGAGACTCATTTGTTAACAGAGCTGTCAATCACTCTGTTATACCGCTAACTCATTAAATCTAACTTATCAGAAAAATGAACACTCAAACATAAAACAACATGATGAGAACTAACTACAACAACAGAAACCATGTTTGAGTAAATCTGACTTGTATTTAGTTTTTATAGTTTGACCTGTGTACCATCTGTTAACATCAGGAGGTGGGCTCTATGACCTATAATGCAGCCAGTCAGTATGAGGGGGAGCTATAGATGTTATGAATTCACTTATGGGGATCTGCTACGTCATCCATCTTTTTAGTCTATTCTTTAAATCTGTACCAGGTTGCACCAGCTATCTATTATTTTACTTCAAATGTAGCCTATAGTTTGCAGGTATAGGTTCTACCTTACGATGGAGTTTACACTTACATTACTTACTTACATTTCAGTTGTTGCTCCAGCTGAGATAGTTCCAGTCTTGGCAGAAGATAAACCTTAAATCTTACACCTATAGCTCCTAGTCGGCAGTGATGGGAATAACGGCGTTATAAATAACGGCGTTACTAACGGCGTTACTTTTTTCAGTAACGAGTAATCTAATTGATTACTCTTCCCATCATTATAACGCTGTTACCGTTACTGCCAAAAAATGCGGTGCGTTACTATGACTGAAGCTGTTTTTCATCAGACCAACTAGATCTCTAAGCCGAGCGGCAAAGATATTTCTTACTGTTCTTCCTCTTTGGTGAGTGCGGACACGAGACAACCGCATAAATGATGACGATTGGCTGAGGTAGAGTAAAAATTTCATGGTGAGCCAATCAGAGGTAGAGTTGGGCGGGTGTTGTTTACACAAATTCGAAAGCATGCATAGTCGGACACACAACGACACAAATGAGTCAACGAGAAACAGGAATGGCGAGCCCAAATAATCCAGCAGTAGCCTTCTTTAAGTGGAAGTATAGCCATTACTTTTCCTTCCAAGAAATTAAAGGAACGAGTGAAATCGTGAAATGCACATTAAGCCCTGGAGTCAAAAGCCTCTCCACATCGGTGTCGAGCAATTCAAACTTAATGAAACATCTTTCAACGCTACATGCTTCCACGAAATTAGTGGCCAAGAAGACCCCCGAAGGAGAAGGAGACAGTGCCACAAAACCTAAGCAACCGAAGCTTGATTTTACAGCCCCACCACCACCACACGTTTTGTCTCAGGCCGAGCTAAACAAACTGGTAGCCAGGTATGTTGTGGAGGATATGCTGCCATTATCGATGGTTGAGTCGGAGTCATTCAGAGCACTAGTTGCCAAAATACCGGTCAGAGCAGGGGTCGGCCTGCCATGTAGAAAGACGTTCGCGAACTATATAGACGCCCAACATGCTCAAATGAATGTCGAGCTCAAACAGACATTTGAGAAATTAGAATATTTGTCTACCACAGCAGACAAAACATCTATTATGTCATTTTTACGGATCCACTATATAAACATAGTAATTATAATATCTACAATAATACATGACATTTGATTGGAGGCTAGTCTCACTTAGTCCCACAGCAACATTAAAATAGTTTAGATTTGTGTACACTGGTTCTGTTAATTATTGATTGTATTAAGTGTCCATTTCATTATAATATTCAGATTTATCATAAATAATTGAACATGCACATGTATTTTAAGTTCTGTTAAAGAGGGGTGGAGGTGGGGTTCAAATTCTTTGACACATTTGAGCATTTAAAAATTTACTTGAAAGTAACGCAATAGTTACTTTCCAAAGTAACTAGTTACTTTTATAATTTGTTACTCAGTAACTACTTTAGTTACTTTTTGGGAGAAGTAACTAATAACTGTAACTAATTACTTTTTTAAAGTAACTTGCCCAACACTGCTAGCTGGTGCTAAGTACAATACAGGTGTGATGGTGTATGGTTTTGAGAGGTTGGATGACTTGGAGGTTGAGGAGGAGTAGAGGGTTTAACCTGCTGTCTAGCTTTGTATTATCCACGATAAGTTATATCCCTCAGAATTATTATTATTATTTTTTTAAATGTGCCCTTCTTGCTTTAAGTTGAACATTTCTGGCGTTTTGTATCCGCTTTGCTGCGAGCGCTCAGCTCCTTTCCAACGCTGATTCAATGGATCCATTTTCAATGCAATACAGCCCGATGAAAAACAAAACACAAGCTGAAGCTCCTCTTTGCTGACGTGCTAACTGTAGTGTCACACAAATGATGACGCTGGCCTGTCTGTCGTCTTGTATTTCGTCTTTCTTTGTTGTACGGCTTTGTCTTTTTCTAACCTCCACCTGTCGGAGTGGAGGTGTAGTGCAGTTACATTTATTGCTTCATCACACGTCATTGGCCTAACTTTGCATGATCTTTCCCAGGATGTCAGGTAGCGGACGAAATGCTCGACAACAATGGCAGACAGGAAACATTTAGTTTCTCGAAAAGAATCCCCCATTAGTTCCAGAGACCATCGGTAGAAAAAAGGAGCTTAAAATGACTTTAAAATGTAATCAAGCTGTCATTTTCCACAAGGGGAGATAATTCCACCTGTCCAACAACAGAGTGCCGTTGAATGTCCTTAAGTCTAAGTCGAGGATTTTACCACTCATTGTCACTGTTGTTGTTTTACACTAGCTGGATATTAAGCTTGTAGCGGGTGTTATCACTTTATGATGCTTGATGACAGCACTGGACAGGTTAGACAACAATTAACACACACACTCACAAAACAGTTTTCATTACACAGTACACAAAAACACACAGCCGACTCAATGAGGCCTGCTGTTAAGGGCAGTTAAGGCTGCAGCGATCAGGCTTTTCTTTAAAGCGAGCCTTCCTGCACCTCAGTGCTC